GAGCCCTTGCCGACACCAGTGAGAAGCGCATTCTTGTCCTTGAATGTCGTGCCGGAAGTCGCGATCTCGTGCAAGACGTCGAGGTAGACGCCCGTGAGGTTTGACGAGTACTCCCAGTTGGTGCCAACCTTGCGCTTGAGGTGCAAGAGGGGGACCTTGTCGGCGGCGACGGGGGCAACATTAGAAACATGCGGGCGCAAGAACTGCGAAGACGCGCGGCGCGTGCGAGGCTGGCCAGCATGAGGGCGCGTCTCGGCAGGCTCGTTCTTGAGCGAGCGGACGACACTGTCGTAGAGGTCCTTGATCTTGCCCTTCTGCTCCTCGGAGATCTCCGGCTGCGTCTTGACCACGTTCCACAGCTTGAGCACGTCCTCCTGGATCTTCTCCATGTTCACCGTGTCGGTGACGACGTTGTCCGTGCTCGCCATCTCCTCGACATATGCTTCGAGCTTGCGGACATTCTCGTGCACAACCTCCGAGTAGATGATCTCACCCTTCGCGGTGACCTCCGTCTTCGGCGCGGTGGGGAAGGTGACTGGGTAGATATATTAGGATCAAGAAAGCGAATTTGGAAAAGCGTAACGTACCATCTTTGTACAGCGGCGGGTGGCCGACTGCCTCGGTACAGTTGTCGATGAGCTCCTGTCCAAACTTCTTCGCCAACGCGTATCTGCGGAAGAAGTGAGCGAAAATACGAGAGGCAAGTGGGTAAGGACATACGTCTCGCTCTTGTTCGCGTCGACCTGATCAATCGCATATTGCATGTACGTGATGAATTCAGGGTCCGTGCGGTTCATGATGGCGATGCAGCGGGCGGTGATCTCACGGTCGACAGTCTTGAGGCGCCCGAAGAGGATGTCGTAGAACATGAGCAGCGCGTCCTGGCGCACCCAGTTCCACGATGAGTCGAAGTGGCGTGTCTTGAGAGCGTCGAAGCGCGGCTGAATACCGTCGATGTACGCGTCGCCATGCTCGCGCTGGATCGAGTCGAGCTTGTCCTGAAGAGCAGCAACGTTGGCCTTCTCGGCGTCCGCGCGGATTTCGCCGGCGCGGGAGTCCTTCTTGAGGTAGCGCATGTATAATTCGATGTGCTGTGCGGCAAGCTGCTCCTGCTCCGCCTGGAACTTGACGAACTCCTCAGAGTTGATAACAGCACCTCCAGAGGCACCACCGGCACCACCGGCAGCCGCGCCAGACGAGAGCGTGATACCTGCGCGCTGAGCGTATGCGGCCGCGACGCCGTCGACCCAAGCCTTCCCCTCAGCCTCCGAGCCGAGACGCTTCGCGGGCTCCATAGTCGTACCGACGAGAAGAACGGCGTCCGCGCGCTGCGGCCCGAGACCCCAGGTCTTCGAGAGGTGAGCCTTGATTGCACTCATGTTGAAGCCGCCGGGCATCTTAGAGCCAACCATGCGCGAGACGAGACCGCTGGTGTACTTGCCGAGGTTACCGGAGTGGCCGGAAGACAGCGCCGACCCGAGCTCCTCAAGCGGCAACTCCTCTCCCTTCTCAGGCGGCGACGCGAACTCCTGGCCAAGATCGCCGAGGATCTCGTTCTGCAGCGTAGATTTGCCGTTCGAAAGGTCCTTGATAGACTTAGAGAGAGGGATCTCGGAGATACCCTTCTTGAGTTTCTGCGCGACAACGACCGCGAGGATGTCGACGGCCTTTATGGGAACGTCTTCGATGGATGCGACGGGGCCGGAAGGCGCAGCAGCGGCAGCGGCAGCGACGGGGGCAGCAGCAGCAGGTGCGGCTGCGGCAGGCGCGGATTCGGTAGGAGCGGCCTCGGCCTCGGGCTCATCTTCGAACTTGTAGTAAATCTCTGTGGCGTGCTTCGCATGACAGTAGACGCTGCGCGTGCGGCCGAGCGAGTCGTCCTGAGCCTCGTACTTGGCCTTGTGCATGCGTGTAGCCATACCGGTAAACGTGGGCGAGGGGCCGATTTCGATGAAGCGCTCGAACTTGTACCTATTAATATATCAGCGCATGCCAAATTAAGCGAGATCAGTGGCAAACATACTGAGTGAACAACAAGTCCCGCGTCTCGATCCAGCGCACAGACGAGGCGAACTGGCACACGAGGAGCTCGACGAGGATCGTGTAAGCGAGCTTCTGACGCTGCTCGGCGGCACCCCACGACTCTGCATCCCAGTTCTTGAGCATCTTCGACAGGCGCGGGGAGGAAGTCTGGTCGTAGATGAGCTGGGTGTACTCCTTCGTGACCTGGAAGGGCTTGGCGACGAGGTTGGGAATATACTTCCCCTCGAGCATATCGGGGTCGAGCTGCTCGGCGTTGACCTTCTTGGAGAGGTCTGCATACTCGCGTCAGCGATAAGCAGAAGGTAAGCCGGTTTGAGATACTTACAAGCACGGAAAGGCATGACACCGGCCCAAAGGTAGCGCGAGTGGAAGGGCACGTCGATACCGGGGAGCGGAATGGTAGCATAGCCGCGCTGAAGCTCGAAGAAACCGTTCTCCTTCTTTGCCTTGTCGACGGCGTCAACAGCCTTGCGGTGGCACTCGTCAACGATCTCGCCGAGCATCTCCTTGACCTTCTCGATCGAGAACTTCTCAGTGAGCTATAGAC